ATGCTCTGCACATCTGCAGGAGCTGTCTTGCCTACAGATCTCAGAGATTCTGCAGATAATTTATAGGAAATGTATGGTTCTGTCCTAAATATTTTAATGTTTGTGTGCTAAGTTACAGGCTTTCACAGAAGATAATCTGTTAGTGTCACACCTTCTCAGTTATAAGTCTGAAAAACAAATCTGAGTGTTTCTTCCTCAGGCGATGGTGCCATGGGAAATTGCTGCAGAAGTTTGTCATGAACAAGTGCTTTACTTTCCTTTCATTTCTCAGAATCTGCTCTGGTAGTTTAGGAAACAAGTAATGAAAGTGGGGTGGATCGTAACCCAAATAGGTAGCATATGTGTTTATTTAGGTCTATAAAAATAAAGTAAAATACAAAGCTGTTAGTGTTTCTGTCACAAACTGGAAAAACAAAATTAAGCTGATATTAGAATATTTAATTCCCTCTTCAAAACTGATTTTCTAGTAGTGCCGTTCCCCCCAGCAGTTCAATGAATATGGCTGTTTCAGACTATGTGTATGGCTGTCTCAGAGCCAGGCTGAGTTGTCCCTTTTGCCCCCTGGGACTCTCCCCACTTTTCTCAGTCTGCTTGGAAACCCTCAGACACATGGAACAGGGAGACAGACCCAGAATTTCTATTCATCCACTGCCTTGCTGACATGCCACAGGTATTAGTTAGGATTATCTGAAGACTTAAGTAAATAAACTTTATATTCCAAAGACTTCATTTTATTGATGTTGATGATGGTTGCTTGAAGTATAAATTAGGATTTGATTTTGGGGAGGAAAAAAAGAAGAAATCCTTTGTTGCTAGGACTTGTAGCAGTCACGTCACATAAATTGGCAGATCTGTGTATTTAAGGGATTTTACACTCTAATTAAATGCAGTAGTAGTCTTTTGCCTTTTGAAATGAAACCTTTTTTTTTCTTTTGCTACATACTTAGGGAACAAACATGCTGTCAAAATCCTTAATGTATCCAACTATTTCAACATAAGAAACAGCATCAAGCTGTTATTTGTTCTGTTGGAGTGTACTCATATTTCCAATCTGAATCTTTTGTACCTGGTGATCTTAATTACATTTGAGCTGGAAGTAGTTTAACATTAAAAGGAATTACAGCAGATTAATCTGTAAACCTGCACAAATATCACATTCCTTTGTATGGAGGTAAGCAGGGCATAGTGTGCATAATTACGTGTTGTTCTCTGTGTAGGTTGTGTGCATAAGGCTGAGGAATTGGTGTTGCAGGTCCTCGTGACAGCATCAATTATAGCATGCTCTTGTGTCTCACAGTGGTCGGTTACATTAGAAAACATACATTATTGCTCTCAGTAAGGTAATCATCCTTATAATAAGAGCAAGCAAGCAAAAAAAAAAGTGAAAACCCCAACTTGCCCTGAAAACAGGAATTAGTACAGTAATTAGTGTATGAAAATATAGAGAAATATTTTAAAGAATGTTGCTGTAATTTTTTTTTTCTAAAGTGATATAGCTTGGGGTCAACCCAAGAAGGCCATTTATCTCAACCATCCAAACCCACATATAGGTCTTGTTTTACGATTTTGTACTTGGAGAGACAAAAGAAAATTACTAAAAATGAATTGGAGGAGGTCTGTTTGTCCAGTCCTGATGGAAAAACATTGCTGGAATACAGTTGCACCAGTTTAGCCTCAGTTAGGGCAGAAGGAGAGCACAGCTTCAGCAAATAAGAATCATAGTTTTTACTGGTAAATACTTTTGACCCAAAGTGTAGCCCACTTAGGAACAGTATGCCAGGTGACAGGTGGAAAAAGGAAGTTTCAGGAGAAATATAGGAGGAGAACATGCAGTCTGAGTTGCAGAAGATGTGTCTCTTAGACTACACCAGCTCTATGCTGGGCAGTTTCCATATAAATTTCCAGATGGCAGTAAACTTCCTGTTTAGTTTGATGCTCATGCATCCATTCATCTTGGATAAGCTGCTACCTCGTTGCAGTGGCTCTGGAAATGCTGTCGCAAATTTGGAATTTGTAGGTCCACCGGTAATGAAACTTCTGGCAAGTCTCAAGAATTACTTGCATTTCCTGAGACTAACGCAGGTGTTGCCTGTGGGACTGGCTGACGTGTTCTGACAGTTCTGGTTTTATCAGTGTCCCGTTGCCTCAGGTCCTTTGAATTTGGAGCGCGCTCTGCAGTGGTGCCTCTTGAATCCCTCTGGTGAATGCTGTGGTCAGTGCAAGTGATCACAGTTCACCTAAACAGAAACATCCTTCTTGAAACTGAAGGTGCCATAAATAAAACAGAGGTTAGTGACTAGTCACTGTAAGGCAACTCAGGGGATTTGGGGAAAAAAAACAAAACAAAACAAACAAACACCAAAAACCAAACCAAAGCAAACAAACAAAACAAAACACAAAAAACCAAGTCAAACAAAATTCTGCTTAGTTTCAATGGTGAAGTTTTCTACTGCCCTACTGTTAGGCACCAGCTGGAAACTGACCCCCCCTTTCAGCACTGTAGGTGTTGTCACAGCGTAATGTTACTGTGCCTTTTAAAATCCTTTATCTTTTTAATCTGAATTCTGGAGGGACATTTTTATTTTATAGTTGCTATTTGGTAAAGAAGTTATCTTTTTAGCTTAATAATGATCTATTAGCAGTGAGGAAGAGGGAAATAAGAGACTCTTCTATTCAGATTAAGAAAGAAGATGTTGTTTCATGTGTTTATGGTTTTTTCACTGTTTTTTGTAGCTTTTCTCCTTAAAACAAAAGTACAGTACACAGCAGGACTTTGCAGGCTTCCCCATATAATGGTGCCAATGTATTTCCACCCTAATTTGCATATTACAGACCTTGGCCTCTTCTGAGCACAAGTGCTGACTATGCCAAATTCACGTAGTTTTTCTGCGATGAGGACAAGGATCATCTAGCAAATAAATGGAGAACGCGGTATTCAATTTGCTGGTGACCTTGAATTTGATCTCTCTTCTGTGCTTAACAGCCTAGTCAATCTCTGTCCTGTTTAACCCCTGTCATCATTACTGGTGTATCATATGGACACTTCTGCATCTGCCTTTTCCTTGATACTGTAGTATTGAAATCACCAAAAGAAAGAACTAGGAGTGAATGAGGAAAGAGCTACCATAAATTCTCCTTCACCTTCTCCTTAGCAGTGTCAAAAACGGCCACAAAGGTCTTTCCCAATCTTTCTGGTTAAATTTATATTTGTCTGAGGTAGAAACCACAAGTTTGATTGATAATGGAATTTGCATCTCGAGGCATCACTGGAAATACAATGGCATGAAAGGCTACTCTGGTGGAGCACACTTTTCCCCCTGGGCTGACTTTAGAAACTCATTGATGTCACTTCCTTCCTCAGTGAGCAAGTGAATTTTCACTAATTCTCAAGACCAGCTGTCCATGCTGTCAACAGAAAGTTATTAAAATTCCTTTAAAGTGAATCAAAATAGCCTAAAAACAAATGTACTGGGAAACAGGAAAGCATCAGTATTCAAAGTCCACAAACCTTTGAGCAAAATAGTGTTGATCTAACCAGAGATTTCAAACACTCTGCTTTCCTAGCAACTTGTATATAATTAGAGAATGCTAAAAACACATACGCCTTTAATCTTCTATTGCCAACAATCTATTTGGTTAAAATATTAGTTACAAGAATAAATTCTATTTCTCCCCAAAATGAACTCAGGAATACATTTTGAGAAGTCTCCCCTAAATGATAGTTGGGGAGGGGGACTTAGCCAAAAAAGCATCATTTTTATATTTAGCAAATAAAAACACAACACAAGCATGCAGGAAATAATTATCATAAAAGACAATCTTCTAATATAGCCTAAAGTGATTATCTGAATTATCTATAATACTTTCCTTGAGAAGAGAAGTATTCTCAGGGACAAGTAGAGAAGATTGCTTTCCTTAATAAATAGAGCCTTTATACTGTATTTTAACACATAAAATATATTCACCAAATTTAAAAATTTTGATCTTGTGCCACACACACCAGCATGAAGAAATTCTGTAGAAATGGAGTATATTTCCAATGCTGGAAGAGGCAGCCACACATGCTAGGCAGAAACAGGCTCCCCTGACAGTTAATAGTGATACTGACACGTACAGGTTGTAAAAAGTGTCCTGTCATTATTACTTCAAAAAAAACCCCTCCAATGGGTACGTGTCTCCTTGCTGGATAGGTAAGTGTGAAATTCCTGACTTTCCCCAATACAGTCTCCAGTAGCGAAGGGAGGGTAATTGATACCAGCTGCCCTTTTGAGAACTAGTGCATGGGAACAGTAAATGAGGTAAAATTACGGTCCCTTTTGATCTTAAAGAAAATAATAAGTTTGAGACGTCATTGCTTCTAGGGTCCCAGATGGCTGTAGAAAAGCAATGTTCTGTCTAGGCTTTGATCGTGTCTTCAGGAGCACACTGAAGGACACTGCAGAAGGCGGCCAGAATAAGGAAGCAAGACCATAATTCAATTTGCCACTTTCTGGATGTTATCAGGATAGAATTTCTCCCTTGAGCCAGCTGGTGCCTAACCTCAGTCTTGACACGGGCACATAATTTTATTTTAGGGTAACAGCAGAAGCTGCTCTTCTCCTCCCATGGTCAAATCCTGAGCTGGGTGCAACCAGTTTCTCGGGCATCTATAGGTGCAGTAGTGCATCTCACAACTTAGTTAAGATGCTTCATAGCACATATTTGACATTTTTTGTCCTCACTTTGAATCCTGTCATTCCTAGTGGGGTACCAGGTTAGCAAGACTGGCTACCTATCTCAATCTTCTTTTTATCACATCTTGATTAAGAGGGGCTTGTGTTTCTTTTACTTTAGGTGGATTTCTGTTTTGAAGTTTCAAGTAATTTGTACATGTTAAATCCTATTTCTTAATTATAAGATTTAATTATTTTTTTTTGCTGAATTCACTGGGTTTTGTTCTGTATGTACATGATTGTATTCATTAAAATATGTACAATCTGATTCTTTTCTTTCTCTTTCAGAGTCTGGAGAAAGATTGCAACAACAGATAATTAATCAGGTATTTTGACACTTTCATACTTTTTCTTACTCGATTTTTCATGTAAAAGAATTGCAGCAATTACGAAGAGGAGACCTTCACAGGACAAGCTAATATTAACTGTATGTTAAGGACCACATACCAGACAACTGCCTGTTAAGGCAACAACTGTATGTTAAGGACCACATACCAGACAACTGGCTCTGCAGATATACTGAATTCACAAAAATAGCCATAATTTTGATTTAAACCTAAGATTTGCTATTTAAGCAATTTAGCACCTCTACTCCTCAATGTCTTGATGGTGAGGTCAAAGCCTAGAGGTAATTTGTTCATTGGTACCAGATTTTGTAGCACAGAATTATGCTTTTTTTAAATAAAAAAAATATATTTCTCCTGTTTGCTAATATTCCTTTTAAAAAGTAGAAAGCTATCAATATGAAATACATGTACAGCACACTTAAGCAATGTTTTTCAGTGTTGTTTAGGTTTTCATCCCTGCCATGACTTTTCACTGAAGCTTCACTAAACTGTGACATTGCTTGTGTAGGCATTTTCCATCTTTATTACTGTACCAGTTAGTAATAATTGATTAGGAAAAAAAAAAAAAAAACAAAAACAAAAACAAAACACCTTTTATATATTGCAATTTAGCATTTAAGCATCAGGAAAAAGATATAGGAACCACACTGAAAAAAAATATTCATGTAATCAGAAAAAGAGGAGGAAACCCAAGGTTTGTGTTCATAAATTACATGCTCTTCCAGATTGAAAGGACCTGACTTGTACAAAAGTGTTGTGTTGCTTCTCATTATCAGCTTGTCCCCTTACTAAACGCTGTTATCCAGATGGCATATAAATGGGTGTCTGTATTGTTCATGGGATTGATTTTGAAAAGTCACTTAAAGAGCAGTCATTAAAGTGTTTGTATGCCAGCAATCACCCTCCCTTAAGTAGTTTGCCTTCCAAGCTATAAATTGAGGCATTAGCATCATTAAGTCACTGTTATCTCTGAGTTGATCATCTAGATGGAGGACAAAGCCACCAGGTGACTGACCACCTAAGGCAGCCTAGTTTAGGTCCAACAGCGTTTCCCCTGTCGTGCCAGAGCATGGCACGGATGTCACTATGTCACTTCCAGTGGCCTGAGCTGGCACCGCTCCTGATGGAGTAAGCTGTGTGTCTGGAAGGTTATGGGAAACCTGGTCCTGAGACACCAAATAATAGCCAGAGTTGTTACAACCTTCTCATTATCTTCAGTAATTGATAGGTGAACATATTTAACCCAGAATATGGCATTATATAAGTAAAGGAAAATCTTCTCTTTTTTTGACATAAATGTAGACATGTTTTGAAACTTAATGGAAGTTCTGTGCTTTGGCTGAGCGTTTACATCCTAAAAGAAGCCAAATTAACTTTTATTAACTGAACTGCATTTGGAAATTAGCCAAAGTATCTTGCAGAATCACTTTTGGGAGTCCTCACTGGCCAGAAGGGGGGGCAGTTGTATTTTTAAAGGACAACTTGAGGCTGCATTGACAGGGCTGTGGGTGGCTGATTGGAGAACTAATTCTGCATGTTTTCTGTGTGACCAAGTCAGCTCTGTGGATGACATTGCCCTTTTCTTAGGGAAGGATATTCTGATAGAAAGGACATTTGTCTGACCTACAAAAGGTGGAGTAAGTCCCATACTTTGTGTATCCAGTCTTGGTCTTGTCCTACAGGCCGCTTGCTTTGCCCTCCTTGAATTGCTCACCTGTTCTGTCTCTGCGGTTTACTTAAGAACATCTAATTTTGCAGGAAAATTGCATTGTCTTGATATGTGGAGGGTCTATCTAAACAAAGCTGTAAAAAGTTGATTTGGGGACAAATGGTAGACACTCACTTTTAAATGGCTAGTAGTGAAGTTGGTGATGCCCTGTTCCATACAAACCTCCTTTGGACTTCCAAGAAATGGAAGAACGTTTCAAATTATAACCAAATTTCATTTTGAAGTCTATAATTTAGGGCACAATTGCAGAGACATGGCATATTTGTGGTAATATTACTTCAATAAAAATATTTGAACTGAGTTTGAACCTAATGTAGTATCTCCCATAAAAGGATTCTGTTTATTTTCAGTACTGAACTTGAAATTTTATATGCAGGATAAGATACTTATCTGGCTTAAGATCCTGTAGTCCCCTTTTGGTCAGTGCAACAACACTGAGTTAAACTGACTGCCAGAAATTTAAGTGAGTGCAAAGGGGCAAAGAGCAGGAAATGTCTTGTTGAGAGGTGAGTGAAACAGAGAGGGGATGGGGAAACGATAAAGTTTCTGTCCTGGTGATTTCCTGCTAGGCAAATCCCTCACTCTCTATGGGGATTTGGGACCTCTCACATCTTGTAGACCACTGTCTCTTCTGTGTGGTTCTTAGCTATTTCTAAAACCTAGGCAAAGTTTGGTGAAATATGACATAGATAAAACACTAAGGTATTATCTGCTTTCAGAAACTTTTGACTGCAGTTAACATCTTCTCTGGCTCTTGCTCCCTTTGATCATAATGCATTTGCTGGTTTTCCTTGAGCACCTTTTTTGTTATTTATGTATATAGGCATGCACATTCATTTAACAGCAGTGGTAATCTACCACTCTGCCTGAGCAGAGACATCCAGAAATGGTATGCACTCTGCTTTTCAATACCTGTTTTTAACAACCTTTGCAACTTTAAGGTAAATCCTGGCACCGATGTACAGCCTGATTAGCTGTAGCACGTTAACTACTGCTAAGGGAAATACAAGGAAACAAGAACAAACCTTGTGCTTCTAACTGTGTAACAGTCTTGGCTAAAAAACACTTTACAGACCGCCAATCAAAATGTGTCTGAAGGCAGTCCTTTAATTTTCATCCTTACCACTCAGATTTGTCTGTGTTGTGGTCTTAATGTATGCTCCTACATGTGGTTTTGCCTCCCAGAAGCTCTGAAGGCCTAACAAGAATATGCGTATTTGCATTTAGAAGCTGAAGTTGTTCGCAGTCAGACTTTTTGGGTTAAAATTCCAGCTGTGTTTGAGCTCAGACTTGAGCCTGTTCCTCCTGCAGTGAAGCTGCAGGTTGGGTCAGGACACCGGGGAGAGCACTTCCCCATACCTGTCCCTCTGTTTTGTCCCTGAGGAGCGCTTTCCTCAAAGCAGACTCTCTTGCAGAGGCACAGCCATCTCTTAATCTTTCAGCATCTTGGGAGCATTTCCCTTTCTGCACATGGCGTTGGGGAAGAAAGGACTGTGATGAAGCAGAGTTGCTGAATGCCTTCTTTTCTTCAGTCTTCACTGTTAGGACTGCCCCTCATGAATCTGTGGCCTTAGAGGCAAGGGGGATGGTATGGAGAGAGGAAATTTTTCCTCTAGTAGAGGAGGGCCAGGTTCGGGACCACTTGGCCAAACTGGACATTCATAAGTCCATGGGGCCTGAGGCAACGGGCACAAGTTGGAACATAAGAGGTTCCACTCAAATATGAGGAGAAACTTCTTCACGGTGAGGGTGACGGAACCCTGGAACAGGCTGCCCAGGGAGGTTGTGGAGTCCCCTTCTTTGGAGATTTTCAAAACCCGCCTGGATGCAGTCCTGAGTAACATGCTCTAGCTCTAGGCAATCCTGCTTCAGCAGGGGAGTTGGACTAGATGATCTCTATGGTCCCTTCCAACTCTAGAAATTCAGTGAAATTCAGTGAAATTCAGTGAAGGAATGTACTTTCTAGAGCTAGGCTTGGACCAGGGATAACTGCAGCCCTGATACACTGTCAGTTGTGTATATACCCTCTGCCAAAGTAAAGGAGTGAAAAAACCCTCAAACTTCTGTTGAATGACAATGTACATTTGTTGCACAGACCATGTTGGGGAATGACTTTTGACCTGAAGGGTGCTTCTGGTACACGCATGGTGTAATAAACCTATATTAATATGGGCAAAAACTTCACAGTTCAGTCCAAATTCCTTGGTTTTTTTCATGCACTGCTGTAGTTTACTTCAGTACTTCCCTCTATCCCCTTCATCCTCTCACATGACCTAGCTAAAATAAGCTCAGTCCACATATGCCAGCTTCCAAGTGCTGCTATGGTATGCCCCTTGCTCCTATTTTCCCAGTTTGAGGTCATATTCCTCAGTGTAATTTACTTTGTTCCCCCAAAATTAGGTGTTTGAAAATCTTCAAGTGAGCTAAGGCATTTAGTCCACTAAAGAAACTGAACTATTAGATCACTTTGATGTTCTTCATTGAATCACATAATGGTTGAGGTTGGAAGGCACCTCTAAAGATCATCTAGTTTAACCCCCTTACTCAAAGCAAGGTCAGCTAGAGAAGCTAGAGAAGATTTCCCAGGAACACAACCAGCTGGATTTTGAGTACCTCCAAGTAAGGAAACTCCACAGCCTCTGGGCAACCTTGTACCAGTGCTCGAGACTCACACAGCAGGAAAATATTTTCTTATATGTAGATGGAATTCCTTGTGTTTCAGTTAGTGCCCACTCCCTCTTGTCCTGTCACTGGACACCACTGAGAGGAGTCTGGTTCTATCTTCTTTACTCCATCCACTTCCTCCCATCAAGTATTTATATACATTAATAAGATCCCCCTGTGCCTTCTCTTCTCCAGGTTGAACAGTACAAGCTCTCTCAGCCACTGCTTGTATGTCAGATGCTCCCATCCCTTAAATATTTTTGTGGCCCTTCACTGGACTCACTCCAGTATGTCTATGTCCGTGTCCATCTATACACTGGACTCATTCCAGTATGTCCATGTCTCCTGTACTGGGAAGCCCAGAACTGGACACAGCACTCCCAGTGTGTCTCTGAGGGCTGAGCAAAGGTGAAGGATCACCTCTCCTGATCTGCTAGAAATACTCAGCTTAGTGCAGCTGTTGTGTGTTTTTGCCATGAGGGCACATTGCTGGCTCAGAGTCAGCTTGTTCTCCAGAACCTACAGATTCCTTCCTACAAAGCTGCTTTCCAGCTGTCCAGCCTGTACTTGTGCCTGGGGTTGTTCT